TTGGACACACCTACCCATAGAAAGGTTTATTTGTACTGTTCTCTACATTTAAAAATAAAGACATCAAAACTATAAAATAATATACATGGAATTGTGCACTGAGCAAAAAAAATATTAAACAAAAACAAACAGATAGATAGATGGATGGATTGATTGATGGGGGGGTCTGTGGGTTGGGACTCAGAAGATTGCCAGGGCTGGCAGAGTGACCCCACCACTGGGCCCTTGAGCAAGACCCTTAACGCTAATTGTTCCAGGGACTGGCTGACCCTACCGACTCCTCTGTGTAAACTGCATGAGTATCAAGCATATTAAAAATATACATGTTACTACGATACTAAGAGAATTTTCTTAACGTTTTACATACAAGCAAAAGTTCCACGTCTTACCTGTCCCGTCTAAACATTGACAAATGCTTTGAACACCAGTATAAGCGAATTAGGGCTCCTGCAGCGAAGTAGAGTCTCAATGGTAAGAAGGACAACTAACGTAAAACTGCCGGGGCAATGAATTTGAATGCTGACTGTAAGAGAAGTTCTTACAAACAAATCGGGTCACTCGGCAGTTATTTTTATAAATTTAAATGCTATTCCTGCAAGCTGTTATAATAAATTGTTTTTTGAAAGATTTCTTCAGTTGCATAGTATCACGATCTTCCTAAGGACGTCCTCAAAAAGTTGTTCAGGGAACATCCTGTGGCTGTCCCTTGTGTCCTGTGAAAGGATTTCCTATGACTGTCTGGACAACTCATGGAACATTAAGAAGTAAAGAAATAGACCTACTGCAAAATATATACGTATTTCACATGCGCGCACACACACACACACACACACACACACACACACACACACACACACACACACACACACACACANACACACACACACACACACACACACACACACACACACACACACACACACACACACACACACACACACACTATATTGCCAAAAGTATTGAGACACCTGCCTTTACACACACATGAACTTTAATGACATCCCATTCTTAATGATTCCTGTTTTGGGCCACATATTCATGTCCTCGTGTTTAACTGGTTCTTATTCTTTTATAAAATTAGACAAATCTTTATAACAAACCTATTTTATTATGTGTTTAGGTGTTTTCTATTGCTCTATCAAACATAAATTATTATTTTTATTTTTTTTACATCTCTTTAAAGCACCATTTCTCTGGAATATGCACTCATTTTACCATGTCCCAAATGCAATGTTTTCAACTTCCTCAGTAAATATAAACTATAAAATTATAAAAACCAAAACTTATTCTTTATTATTTTGATAGACTAGGGTATACTACCTTTAGAAAAAGAAACAAATCTGGTGAAACTTATTTTGTTTTCTGTAATTATATAATATATTATATGTCCCCGCATTCGTTTTCCACTCTGTGAGCCTCTAGTTTCTTGGCTCCCTAAAAAGATTACAAATCCATACAACCATTTCCAGGAAGTGACATCATTTGTTTTTGGGGGAAATTCAACTGGAAGACTAAGGTAAGCTTTAACTGTCACTCTCTGCTGTATTTTTCTCAATTTTATATTACACACCGGTTTGAGGCACCCTTAAAGTTCCACCCTGTTAGTATATATTATGGGAAATATTTATTGGAAAAAATATTTTTAAAAACATGTTAAAAATAGCTATTTAAATGCTGATCAGCTGTAGAGTGTGTGCTAGCTAAGTGTTGCTCACTCAAAGAGCTAGAGCTAAATTAGCTAGAAATATTCCACCCTGTTAAGTTCCACCCTGTTAGGCTATGTATGGGATATGCAGCCCAAGAATATTTATTATTTTCATTAAAATGACCTGTAGATTTATTATTTGAGTGTATTTCTTAATTATTTATGTTACAGTGGTATTATTATGAATGATAATGAATAATTATGGTATAATCAAAACTTTGGAGGTTGATTGGTATGAAATGTTCTTAAATGAATTCTATCTATTCCTATCTATTCTGTAAATATTATTATTATGATGCTATTCCAGACATTACAGTAGGTTAAACATGCAGGAAAATAAGGGAGAAATCATTGGCTATGTTGAATCTGAATCTACTTGTTAAGAGGCCTACTCAGTTCCACCCTGTTAAATTCTATTCCACCCTATTAGGCAATGATTTTAAAAAATATTCTAATCACAACAGTAAGTGTTTGGTATATTTGTATATTGTTTTGTTAAATGAGGTACATATAATGCATCTACATATACTTCATATACATCTACATATACTACATATATTTCTAATTAATAAAATTCCTCATACTGTACAAGACAACAAAATGGGGACAAAAAATGCACAGATTCCATTATTCTGACATTGTACTCTTCATAAAATTAAAACTGTTAATGCTACAAGAATGAAACTTTTATCATAGCAAAAGGGACACATTGTATCCCAGAAAAGTTCAGTATTGTTTGACTTGCACATTATTTAAACTCTGTGATTACCATGTACATGTCCCTAACAGGGTGGAAAAATGTCTGGAGAAATATATACAAAAAAACATCCCATAATTATAATATTTTCAACCCCTGAGCTTGGCAAACATGCATTCCTCATAGCTAAGTATGGTATAGTTCTGACAAAATGTTTAAACCATAAAATACAATCATTCCAATTTTCAGAAAACAGACAGCCAAATATGTGGTCCAAAACAAGAATCACCCAGAAGCATGATTCGTCACTCCAGAGAACACATCTCCACTGCTCTAGAGTCCTGTGGCGACATGCTTTACACCACTGCATCCGACGCTCTGCATTGCACTTGGTTATGTAAAACTTGGATTCAGCTGCTCGGCCATGGAAACCCATTCCATGAAGCTGTATACGCACTGTTCTTGAGCTATCCTGAAGGCCACATGAGGTTTGGAGGTCTGTAGCTATTGACTCTGCAGACAGTTGGTGACTTCTGCACACTGTGCACCTCAGCATGCGTTGATTGGAACACCTGAATGCAATGATTTGGAGGGGTGTCCTGCAAATAAATTGTGTTTATGTTTCGTGTGACCTCCTACTGAAGCCAGTATATCTTACACTGTTGTGCGACAAATACAACAAATCCTCACTAGAGGGCAGTATCTGATTTATAATTAACATACATATCACGATAGGTTGCTAATGGTCCTGGCAGGCCGCTGTATGTGGAGGTTTCACATTGTTTTTATTATTTACCTTTATTTTACCAGGAAATGCCGTTGAGATTTTAAATGTCTTTTACAAGAGACACCTGGCCAAGGTAGCAGCACTAGAAATTTACAATAAAATACAATGTTAATGACCTCGGTGCTGAGGCAATATGCCGTATTGAATTGCTATATTAAATTAAACATTATAGATGACATAAGCGACCGCATTAGGTGCCGACTTCAGCCAGGAGTGAGCCTTGAAGCACTCGCACCCTCTATAGTGCAGGCACAGAACAGTTACTCGACGAGGGGGGAGCCAGGTTTGGAGAGGGTGCCGACTTGCGCGCACATTTCACTTTGCCTCGGGGGTGCTGGCGTGACATTGGAGGAGGGGGCAGTGTCGAGGACGCTGTTAGCTTAGCAGGATGGGACCAAAAAAAGTGAAGCTGTGACAAGAAGAAGACAGAGAGGAAATAAGAAGAAGCAGAGAGGCGTATTAAAATGAACAATAAGTACAGTCAGTCCAATTACTACGCAACTAATGCATTCTTGGAAAAACCTCACGTCCACTAAAATTGCATAATAAAACACACATATCTAGAGGGGAAAATAAGGTTAGGGGAATGCGAAAACTCCAAGTAACTTACGCCAAACGAAAATAATACCAGTAAAAAGTGATACCAGTAATTATCCATCCCCTAATCTGGGTCAGGGTCGTTAGAGTCTATGGCATGGCAGGGCATACTCATACAGCATTCACTCACATACACACACCCATGGGTAATTTGGTAATTCCAATTAGCCTCATCATGTTTTTTGACCGTGAGGGGAAACTAGAGTACCCACAGGAAACCCCATGATGACATGGGGAGAACATGCAAACTCCACACACATGGAACCCTGGCAGACACTTGAACCCAGGTCACAGAGGTGGGCGGTGGTAGTGCTAACCACTGTGCTGCCCCTATCACTAGTTATATACATTTTAAAGAAGGAATAATAATACATTAATAAGGTGCATCATAAAGCACTCTTTTGGGTCTTATGAGTCTCACGAGAATTTGCTAGTAACCGCTTCAAGCCAACGTGCCAAATTCACAACTTGTCGAGTACTGATAGCAAAAATGACGCTCCATGAACCATTTGCTGTATTTTCTGACCCCACTAGATGGTGCTCTTTGTTTACTTTAGGACATGGTTTGAAACTTTTCATTGCATAGAGAGAACCATCACGTGGGGTCAGAAAATACAGCAAATGGCTCATGAAGTGTTGGGAGCAGTGATGGCAGAATTGATGCTCTATGAACCATGTGTATATTGCTTTTGGTGGAAGTGTCTGCTGTACTTGATATTTCTATTGATCCCTCAGCTTGCTTTCTGTAGGTAAGAACAAGCTGACTTTGAAGGGCAGCCAATGGTTGCAACCCCCTTGGAACTGAGGGTTAAGGGCTTTAGTTAAGGCACAGTAACTATGCCAAGGCCAGGCTCAAACTGGTGACCTTCTGATCACAGGCACAGAGGCTCAGCCCAGTGAGCCACACGCTGCCTCCCACTAATAGTGAAGGTAGAGACTCAATTCATTTAACTTAAGATGCATAAAACATGCCAGCGTATCAACGAATTAGAACAAATGGGCACATTAATGTCAAGCCTATTTTTCACTTCTTATAATTCTGCATCGATTTAAAAGTGTGGACATTAAGATGGGGGTGAGATGCACAGGATCAGCTTTTGAAAGCAGTGGCAGGGGAAGCCAGATGAGATGACATCAGTGAACTACTTCACAGAGAGTTGCCCCTTACGGGCGTCATCAGGTAGGCGACGGGCAAATAATCACCGGGATCGACATTCAGAGTTCATGTCCTTTATTTGGTTATGATTCTGCTCCAATTTACAGCACCTTTCCACATCCTCACGAACACACCATCTCTAAACACAGTCATCTCTCCTTCAGACAGTAGTGCTTTCATATAAGTCTCTCTCTCCATATAATTAAAACATATACATACATTTAACATTATTTATGGGAAACCTATCAATTTTGATACCCCATTTATCATATAATCCTCTTACGTGATATCCTGTGCCATCATACCACATTCTAGCTTAACCAAAACAAAGAGGGGAAAAAGATGGAGTCTATTTTTGGGAAGGGACACTATAAATAAAAGGCAAAAGATCAATTTTATACATTTCTTTAAAAAAAATACAATAATAGGCATACATTTTGAATAAATTCGTAGGATGCATTACACAGTCAATGACTCTAAAGATTAAGAACATTAAACCAAACCAGTAAACACTTTTTTTTTTTTTTCTTTCTTTCCTTTTTTCGGCAGTAGTTGAGCAGTCCCTGTAGCTTTGGCTAACACGTTAGCGCACGGAACATGAGGACTAAGTGACCGAGCACACCAGGCCTTATTTACACAGTAACAATACTTTCATTTTCCTTCAGACAGCTATGCGAGTTCAGCTGCAGGAGACCCTCCGCCTCGTCACTCCAGAAATGGGATGGTGTAGAACGGTGGGACGCAGCCAGAGCATTATGCTCCATGCCGACACTGGTGTTGCCTTGCTCGTGATGCCCAAAGACCTTTGAAAACTTAGCAGATTCCCTGGTGGTCTCCTTGCCTCAGTCAGTCACAACAGCTTTACCTTTGGCTTACTCTAGACTGCCTTCAACATTCTGCTGGTCATTATATCGGCATTCTGGCTGCAAACATGTTCTACTTCCTGCATAAATATATACATATTCAAATGCATCTGCATCTTGAAAGGCCACAGTAGTATTGCAGAGAGGAAAAAGAGAGATGCAAGTGACCTTTGATTGTTCAGACACCCCCCACTCCCCAGAAAACAAAACAACACCTGTCCAGTGAGCACCCTGTGATAGAGGTTGTGGTACAATGGTCCATCAGACTCTCTTGAAGACCCTACTCACAGGGTCCTTTCCTCTCCAAGGGACTCAGCACAGGCCAAGACCGAGGCATAGCTACCATACACACACTGTACACCCTCACCTTCAAGGAGAAAAAAAAAGTAAGAATATTGGCAATAAGAAGTGCTTCACATAGTCTGCAGTCCCATCTGGTCCAGGGAAGGATCTCCGTAATTCAATACTGCACAGGTTAGATTTGCTAATGACACTGAAGTGTCACTGGGGTCAGAGGTCACACCTCCAGGGGCCTGCCGGCCAAGTCCGAGTGCTCCATGTGCAGGCACTCAGCACTGGCCTCGCTGGTGTCCATGCTGCAGTCCGAGACATCGCTATCGCTACGGTCCATGTGCTCCAAGCTAGAGGCAGCCTGTTCTGAAAGCGGGTTCCCTGGGTAACTGGCCTCGCAGCTGGCCGCCACTGCCTCCTTGGCCTGTCGGATGCAGTTGAGCCACTGCTGCTTGTTGAACGAGTCGCTGGCTTGGAAGGAGTATGACTGGAGCTGCCCTCGGCTGCGGAACGTCACTCGGAAGAAGTTCTTGGCTGGAAAGGACAGAGGACCATGTCAGCACTATGTAGGAACTGTCCACTAATTGGATATCTTTGGGAAAAGGGAATTTCCATAACTCAATGAGAGACCTAAACAAGTTCACACCTGCCATCATCCATAATCTCTCAAGTATGGATACAGAGAGGACCCGAGAGATTAGTTTACCATCACTATGTAAAGAAGCCCTGATTGGATTTACTCATGGATGTGGACCAAGGGCAAGTGACCAGTGGCACTTTTAGATCTTTCAGGGTTAACTTAAAAACGCGACAAATTGTACTGATGTCTCACTGTGTAGTAACACGCATGTCAAGCAGTACTGAAGAGATTTACCACACTTGTGCTATTAGTTTGTGTGCTTGAATTAATGGATTTTGGATTAACACTCATACTGCTAAGGCTTCCAAACCCACGGTGCATGTTATTCAGGGCAAATGCAGCATTGATTTCATTAAAACGCTTTCCATGTATACACAAACATAAATCCCTCACAGGAAGCATCACGCAGCCATGTTTGTGCCTACTCACTCCTCTCGTTGTTGCTGAAGGCTCCGCGGATGGAGCCCCCGAGGCGGATCTCGCCGTCCTGGAGGTCCTCCCACTCCAGGTCACGCACTGGGATTGGCTGCCGGTATAGCTGGTAGCAGAGCTGCTCGTTGAGTGTGACGGTGCGTGTGATCACCAGGACATCCTGGAACAGGAACACGTGCAGCTTCTGTGGGAGGGGACCAGGAAGAGGAGAAGGTTAAAAATGAGCCTGGAAGCCGGAGACCTACAGCTGGATAAAATCCCTTCATACCGCTAGTCCAATTATTACACTTAGTAGCTTAACTGATACGTTAAACTAATACAACTTAGGTTTTAACCCATATGACAATTGTACTTAAGTAATGCAGGTTAAGTACTTGGCACGACAGATCACAACCCAGGCTTTAAAGAGTCCATTTAACAGCCATGCTACCTGCCTGCCATGAGGTTAAAATAAGATTCTGGCAGCGGATTGACACAGAGCAAACAATAACAGAAAATGAGATCTGTCTCTCTGTGCAATTCATAATGTAAATGTTTCTGTTGAACTTGAGAGTTGTTTAAATTATTTTAGTCCCAGATATAGATTTGAAGATTTCTAAATACATAGGACCATATGACGTAAACAGAATAACTTCCAATAAAGAGTGATGTTTGGCCAGTGTTGTGTTAATGTTACAGAAAAACACCCACAGCTTTGAGTTGGAAAGGGCCAATAAGAAGCTTCTGGGAAAACATGAAACCCTGACAGGGCAGGTATTTTTCTGGAGTGCACTGTAATCTCAGAACATGTGTGGGCAAATTCTGTAGTGTGTGGTCGGGGTGGGACTGGGAGGGGGGGGTGGGATCTCAAGGACAGGCAGAGGATCTGGTGTAGCTACAGAGTGGCCAGATCAAAGGGAACCCATCTTCCTTTCCTTTAATCTTCAGCTCCCAGTGGTGGAGAGGATTCTTCCAGCATCAAAGACAATATACACACCAATGGCCAATGGGGGGTACAGGGGTGGTGATGGTAGTGATGTCAGTAAAGCGTTGTGTTGCTTTGAAAATTTCCTGTAAATTATCGTCCTGATGTATGAAACAGTAACATAAACCATTTCCAGTGGTCACTCTGCTGTGATGTGTAATTAGAGACCTTTCGCCTTCTGTCAAGCGAGTTCCCGTAATTAAAGACATGCGTTGACAGGGCAGTGCCCCCCCGCATTGCGTAACTCCGTAAGTTGAGCCACGGAGACCTGCCAGTTCCACTAAGTGAAGTTGAAGACTGATTCAGAGCACGGCGACTCGTCATGCGAGTAAACAAGGATTCCCAAACACATGAACATATAAGAACTAATGAACTTCCTCATACACCAAGGCAGTTACATAAGCTCTTGATTCCTGCGACCTCGAGGATGCCACTATAACAGTGTTTCCAAATCCGGTCCTCCGAGACCCACAAACGGTCTGTTTTTGCTTCATCCCAGCTCCCTACAGGAGCAAAAATACGGACTGTGGATCCCTGAGGACTGGACTGGAAAACACTGCACTATAACATCAGACTCATTAGGGTATGACTTTGCATGACACTGTGACCCAGAAAAGCAGCAATCAGAATCTCATTTATAGGAAGACTGCTTTAAAAGAACCTTGGCAGAGATGTCACCGGTATAATATGGCTTTACGTGGAAAGGGAAATGTGCCAAGAACCTCAAAAGTACTACTTTCATAGGTGACAAAGTTGAACCACCCCTTTCATGTAGCTCAAACTTCCAAGACACACTGAGGTTTTACAGTTCCCGTTTCAAACACACCAAAAGGAACCCATGGGGGTGGGGGGAGGGGGGGGGGAGTGGGAATGGTGTATATGTGTACATAGGGTGTATATGGGTCATAGGGTGGAGCACCCCACCAAAAACCTTTCCTTGGGGAAAGTCACAGCAATGACAATGTAAATCACAATGTAAATACCAGATTAACTGTGCATATTTCCCTACAGTACATATCAGTACATGTCTTTTCCATTAGCTTCAGGGAACAGGAAAGCACAACGCTGTTTTTAACGGACACTCACCGCCCCCCGGTTGTTCTTCAGCTCTCCGTGGCAACTGAGCACCCGGGACTCGTCGATCAGCACGTGCCGCTGGCTGTCCTCAAGGTACACCAGACGTTCCTTGTAGTAGCGGCACTCCGACTCGCCAGTCTGCGCGTTGATCTCAGCCACGATCCCTTGGATCATGTTAATCTGAGAGCAAAGGATGCAAGATTCAGAATGGCGTTTGGAGAAAGAGGTGCTCCTTTCACACCAGAATGGTTGCTCCAATTTCTATTACACTGGTGTTATCTGGTAATGTAGGGTCCTATGGTCCAGGTAGAAACCTCAAACTGCCATAACCAGACTGATTCCAGAGAGATATCAGTCCTGGAAGCTGATGAGAGGGCAGGGCTAAGGGGCTGTCCCAAACGCAGCCATTGGATGTAGCCTGTAGAACCTCTGCTCGCAGATGAATGCTACCGCATCCGCCGGCAAAATGCCAGCGTGGCTCCATGTCCTGCATTTTTACATCCATCTTTACCGGACGGAAGATTCACTCGAGCAGCTTGCACAAGCTAGAGATCCGTGGACTGAGCTGCTAACCCTGCCTACCGCTCTGGCTTTCCCAGGCACACTTACCGCCTCATCCAGGAGCTGGTGGTCGGGGTGATCGTTGGGCGTATGCTTGACTATCTCACGCAGTAGCAATGGGTACTTGACCAGCCTGCTGCGCGGGATGTCCAGGAAGTTCCAGAGGTCCAGCTTGCGGCTGAAGGGCGATTCCAGGCAGCGCTGCAAGAAATCGTGGACCCGGCGGTCTTGCTTCTTGTGGTCCAGCAGTGCCTTGGCTGCTACCTGATTGCTGCAGTAGCCGTTGTATGAATCCAGACAGGGCAGCTGGGATGGAGCGAGGAAAAGAAGAGAGGTGCCACTGTAAGCAGTGATTTCAAAAATGGGGCTCGGGGGGGATTTATCTTAACAAGACAAACTTCATGACTCAAAACTCCTGCTGAGTGTATTTGACAGCTGCTTACTGGGAACTTCAGGGGTGGGTTAAACTATCTGAGCCTTGGGGGGAAGAAGACAGACAGACAGCTTTAGATCAAAACCTGGGCGACAGCTGCTTTCTTTTGCGCGTGCCACTTCAGGTTATTGTACTTGGTTCATAAAGGCTGACACAGAGAGTACCCTCTACATTGTGGCCGCCTCTGCCTTGGCGACAGGCAGCATCAACCATATAAGAATCTGCAGTGCAAAGCGTGGGGAGAAGGGGTGGTCACCGGATGGGGAAAAGTTGGGGGCGTATGCTCCGAGTCAGCATGTGAAAGACATCAGTGGAACTAGACGCGTCTAGACACTGCAGTGGGGCAGTACGAGGGCGGAAGAAGTCGGTGTAACCAGCCCACTGTTCAAACATCTGCTTTTAAGAAGCTCAAATCATGGGAGAAAGAGAGGACAGGTTTCATCTGCCTTAAGGCACCCGCAATGCTTTTGATTATAATTCTAATTATTATCTATACTGGAGCTATTACTAACAGATGATGAACCGTCAGTCCTCGCCTTTAAGGTCCACAGCAGGCAGATCATGAATTTATTACTCAGGGAGAACAGAAGCAAGTGGGTCGGGGGGGGGGGGGGGGCTCCCAAAAGAACATTTTCATCATCCATCTTCCCTATGTATTGTGGATTCAAAGGCAGACAGAAGACCAAATGTCCCACATAACTGACTCGTTTGCCATCCTAAGTGCTTGTGTTTCACACTGATAATACAGAATCTGTGGATGCTTGTTTATTCCCAGATAAGATTTTCCGGAATTCCAGATTCCTACACAGTCCTCTGCTTTAAACTTGAAGTAGGAACATGCCTCCTGTTTACACTTATGCAACCCCAGCTAATTCTATCCCAGGTATAACCTTTCCAGGGATCTGTACCACAAAGCAGGATTTCTTGTTTAACCAGATAACTTGTCGGATTTAAGCTAGTCTGGGCTAACTGTAAGTTGGTCCCTCCCAGGTCAGCTACCCTGCTCTGTGATTCGCCAATTGATGAATCATGTGAGAACCTTAACATTGAGGGAGTGTGTGTTATTTGGCTGTCCAGTGCGAGCACTGCAGAACAGCTGTGAAAAGAGCAAATATGGTAGCTCTCCCTTTGTAACAGACAACCAGAGTCCAGCAAGATGAATCATGGATGTCCCTCTTTGGGGACTGGGGAACCAGGCTTCAGAATTGTTGTGGGGAACTCGGATCTATTCACAGCTTTCAAGCATACGAATCATCTCTAGCAACTTCTGGTTTGTTCTGGCCTCCGCTTGCAAACAGCACCCTTCAGCTTCCATCTGCTTCCTCCACATGTTTCAAAACTAAGTCATCACTGGACTTCACTGATCTCTGCTAAAAAATGTCCCACTGCTGATTAAAGAGACCCCAACCCTAACTATAGTCATAAATATTAAAGATGAGACAATTCATGAAGCTCCCTCAGCACCTAATAAATAACATCTTTGATTACAAGGATTCCAAGGATGAACAGCAAAACCCAGCAAATGAAAATTCTTTTCCTCCAATAATAAAGTCTACCCTTTCTGCATGAAAATGCAAGACTATTTCTTCTTACTAATTCAAATTGCAACAGCGTTAATTTTTCCCCCCATTAACAAAGGTCATTTTGAGAAATAAAGGATAGACTTTTTAAGACTTCTTACTACCTGAGCTAAAGCGTGCTGCTGGCCAGGCAGACTGTTTATATGCTCGCTGCCAACCAAAACATTCGAAAACAGAAAAAGCCTTCAGTGCTAAACACGCTTCTTGACTTTACTCCCATAATGCTTTTATAGGATTCTGGCATTAATCACTCACAAGAAGGTTAAAATAAACAAAACAAGGCGAAAAGGGGAAGCCTTTTCCTTCAGCACATCCGAAGAAGCAGGAGGCCGGGCAGGAGGGCAGGCAGGAAGGCAGGCAGGAGGGCAGGCAGGAGGCCGGGCAGGAGGGCAGGCAGGAGGCCGGGCAGGAGGCCGGGCAGGAAGGCAGGCAGGGCAGGAGGCCGGGCAGGAAGGCAGGCCGGGCAGGAGGCCGGGCAGGAGGCCGGGCAGGAGGCCGGGCAGGAGGCCGGGGGGCAGGCAGGGGGGCAGGCAGAGCTTAGCGTGTCGCCTCCCACGCGCCTCGGACACCCCGATAACAGACGGAGCGCTGGTGCATGCCAGTGAAAATGAGGCCCCTGATCCACACAAGACATCCGACCCGCCTGTCAGGACTGATTAGCAAGTTGGATGCCCGCACCCCCCCCACTCTGGTGGCTCTCAGAGCTCAGTCATACATGACCTACTATCTGTCCACCACATTCCTTTTAACGCTAACTTTAGACTTTCCAGAAAGCCACACAATCCTAACGAGTGCCTGCGTGAGGTGTGGGGGGGTCCTTCTTCAAAGATGCCATGTTACCTCCCATACCAAGTCAACAGAATCTCACACCTCCACTCCCAAGTTCATGGGATTAGGCTGTGAGCAAGGAGCTCAGCAACTTTTATAAGGTGACACATTAAGATTCAAGTCTACCAGTGAGTATCACTAGGTGACCCAGCAGAGTCACATTTAAGGGCTTCTTGCGTGGTTTTGGAGGGAGTGTGGTCTCTGGGAACAAAAGGACAGTTTTCCTTCTCTGGAGTACCCTGACTAAAAATTAAGCACCCGTTTCACAGCTGAACTGCCATCTTTCAACCTTCAAACTTCAAGATAGCGAGCAGAAACATGGGGAACATCAAACAAGAGGATGAGTTAGTCTTACCCAATTCACCAGGATCTGTCCCACATGCTCCGTGGACCCGTCTGGTTTTCTGGCCTCCCTTAGCCGACTGAGGAGGTCTGAGGGGGGAAGGTGGTACGGCTCTTAGGGCTATTCGGCACCACAACCATGCAGAACGAGGATCACATCCACGGGCTCATTTTTAACAGTTACCTTCATGCAGTGGGATCAGCGAGTCCAGCGTGCCGAAGATCTGGTTGAGCTCCTGCTCGGTCATGATGGAAAGCTTAAGCATAGGGTCATGGTAGGCCTACGAGGAGGAGTTAAAAAAAAAAAAACACAGAGTAAGCTTCACAAAACCACCCTTCACACCATGCATTGATGAGGCGGTCATGTCCGAACATTCAACACTCCCCATAAGGCTTTTAACAAAATGACATTGAAATCTGGGTAATGGGCTCCCTGGTGGAATGTTTCAGAGAACATTGTATTCGTGGAATTTTTATGAGGGAAAAAGTCATGGAATATTTGTCATTTTAGGTTCCACGGTGATGGGGCTGGCATTAGCTGATCCAGCAGCTATAAAAATTATTAAAACACACTTGACTGCGCAACATGGACAACCTCAATCCTCTATCATGTTTAATTGGACTTCATCTGTGAGTCAGCATGGGCTGTTTATACAGAAAACGCAAGATTAAAACAGATCGCATCCATCTCGTTCTGGCCAATATTAACCTCGCCCATTAAAGCTAAAAAAGGCAGCCAACTAACTCAAACACTGTCCACAGATGATGTAGGTATCTTCACTCAGCAGTGAATGCCGCAGATAAACAAAGGAGATATTTATTGGTTTCTACCTAATGCTAGCCAAGTGAGATGGCCAGTGAGAGGGCCAGTGAGACATCTAGGGTCATATAAAAGCGTGAGGAGCTCTCTGAAGCAAGCATATTCTGTTACGAAGACCCTTACTGCCATTCCACCCCCACCGAACCCCTCCTCTTCCCTTGTGTGCAATTCCATCAGAGCAAGATGAGAGCCATGACCCTCTTGGGTGGGATAACTCAGGCTCCCTTGATGTTCCGTGAAACGGCGGAAAGTGATACTAATTTGAAAAACAGGTCTCACCTTTTTCGCTAGCTTCAGATCCTCGATTAGGTCCTGTTCACCCTGGGAAAGCTCAAAGATGGCCTGTGGAAGGGACATGGGCAGTGAGGTTAAGGGCAATGTCTGCGTTTCAGCTCATCGGTCCTAACCAGAAGTAATCATCTCTTTTGGCATTAACCTCTACCCTTCAATCATGAGAGTCCGGCTTGACTTTCTCTTGAATGAGGAACTTGCAACTTACTTACATACTACTTACTTTTAGAATGAGAAAATTCAATGCTAGATCTGTAACAACGTTGCAGAAAGATCTTCTAACAATGGAAGCTCAACTTAGCTACACTAAGGAGTTGTCAACTCCTTGACAACATGTATGTTTTTAATGTGCTATGTGCCTCACTTGAACGTTGCTTTGGACAAAAACATCTGCTAAATCAAAATAAATGTAATCATGGTATAACTACCATTACCATCACAGTTAGAGGATAATGGAGTTAAAATCTTGATGCAGAAGAACTTCCTAGCAAAAGTAACCAAAATGTTGAGACATCAAAACAGGCTGTGGCAGATGCAGGAGAAAGAGGGGAGGGCCCTTGACCCCCAACGAAACCCATTTTCCTCATCAGGTCACCCCCTCCCCCACACTTTGAAGTCTGACCCAGAGAGGAAACCTGAGGAAGCAGCAGCAAGGATATTTCAAAACAGGCCACGCTGATTTTCCACAGCACAACACCACATACTAATCCTCTTCATTCCAGCTTGGGGCCACGGAATCATTTGTATGTCTTTGTTGACATAACAGACTTTAATGTGTCTAAAACCTTTTCTCCGCTTCCTAAGCCTGTTCTCTCAGTAAGTCAGCCCCCCCATCAGAACTCGAACTGCACAGTTGGCATATGCTTCACAGTAACATTTGTTGACTACCTTACACATTTCTTCACTACCTCAGCCTTTGGTTTAGCACCAGCGGTACTCTGGCCCCTACAGCTCTATCTCTCTCGTGTTTTATTTGAGTGATGGATCCATGACGGGGAACGGCTTCACCAAGTGTTGCTATATTTATACCTTTGAGCACTGCAGAGAATGTCATTAAGTATCTGGAATTATTCCCCTTGCCTTCAAATAAATCTGGCTAGACATGTAGGGCTTGCATGCAGGTCACACGTCAAGAATCCTGCTCAAGGGTCCTACGGCAGAACCTTTAAGACCAACTGAGTTCATGCCACAGATAGAGTAGGCCACGGATAGAGCCGATGCTCAGTAAAGGAACAATGACTGGCCTGCAGATGCCTAAAAAGAACTGACCTATAGACAGTGCGATGGGCCACAGGCAGAATACAGAACTATATAATAATTATGTCCTGGGGGAGGGAGTAGCCAGTTGGATCCTGAGAGGTTTTTTTTTCCCCTCCATCAAACTAGGGAATGTTGTTTCCACTCCTCCATTTTGTTCTCGTTCTTGTTCATTGTTCATTTATGCTACTGTCACCTTTCATACTAATGCGTGGTGTGTCATTCTTTGATTTGTGTTGTACTTTGGGAAAGGTGCTAAAATAAACAAATAGAACTTAAATGGGACTGACTTGAGTCAGTGACCTCAGGGTTATAAATTCACATCCTTAAGCACAGCATGACTGCAGTGTGAAACGGCACTGTACAGCTGAGAGGAGCAGTGATTTCTTCTTGATCTTACCTCCTGTCGCTTGATCTCCTTGGAGGAGAGCATCTGGTCCACTCGCACATCGAATGTCTCGCTCCACAGCTTGCTGTCCCGACGCTTTGTGATGGCGGGGGCCCCGTGCCGACCTCGGGGCCATGGGGCCATGATCTCAGGACGGCTGTCTCCGCGGAAGCTGATGGAGCGCTAGTGGAGTGGGGGGGGGAGAGTGTTTCAGTGTCATGGGGCGCAGCTGGGTGGGGGGGGGCACATCTGCATGAAGGAGGAGTGGGTGGTTTGAAAAGGAAGACCACGTCAGACTGCACAAGTACATCTGGAACCAGATGGGACCAGCCAATGGGAAGAAAGCAGAGAAAACACATTCTAGAAATCTGCCGGTCTGTTAACCAGCACTAACCACAGACAATTACAAAAATCATGATAGGCAGAAGGGTGACAAAGGACAGATGAAACACCAGCATGCAGTGGGAGAAAGAGGGATTAGACATGAAGACACAGACCTTTAGTCATGGACTAATCAGAGGGGTGACTGCACAATATGTGCATCTACCAAGGCAGTCTAGTCTCCTTGAAGGGATGGTGCTCCAGTCTGACTATCGACATCAAACAGTTTCTCACGACCATTATGCGCTGTGCAAATTCTCACAGTATGCCACGGCAGCAGCCGAGTGCTGAGTCAAGTCGGCTGTAGGTTTTCTTCGCGGTCACAGAGCTAGATGTACTGCCAAAATGGTGACGAGTTTCATTCCCTTAACACAGCCTATAGTAACCAGCAAACTGCTTGACAGATTGCACGGATGTACGAGGGCTTAAAGCCACGATGACGATCTTCATAATGTGTGTCAGGCAGATTTCATAGCATGGTATGCTGTCACCATGTTCATGAATATCTGGCCAGTCAAGAAAGAGGAGAATTTTCTTCTCCTTGTTCATTTTAGAACAAAGCCACGCAATCTCCATGTAAAACCAGGTACGTTGCATCAAGCCAATTCACAATCTGCTTCCATCAACCGTTATTGGACAACCCCTCTGATAAGATAAGAATCTTTATTGTCATTGTCACTTGACAATGAAATTGCGAAAGTGCAGGCGACGCAATGTGAGGCACGAGTAATAATCAAATAATTAATAATCAAAAATCAGCCATGCCTGTAATTTAGCATGTGGTATATTAGTAGTGCTTATTCTTCAGAAGATACTAAATGTTGATGGCTTTTCTATAATACAGCGGGAAGGGCTGCACAATATCACCTCACAATCATATGGTGCACGTGCAATAATCACCAGGTCTTTAGATAACAGGCGAAACATTTGTTTTGTCAGAACTGTACAGATAATAATTACTTATGCCCACAGTTTCGTGAGCAGATCAGTAGTGTGCCTAAAATATTAATGCGAGGCGTATTGTGACACCTAAAAATTAGTAATCTGTATAAATTCTTTACGTTTAATAAACTTGTCAGACTTTAAACTGCAAAAAGTATCACCACACCACCAACGTCTTTTTACCTTGTTTAATCACAGTATCTCCCCTTTTAAAACACGTTGCAGCTGCTGATCTGTCCCTTTCTTCACCTCCACTTCAGTGCTTATTGCATCCATGATTTACCAATACAGTAGCGTGTGGCATGCTCCGTTAACCAAGCTTAATAAACATAGGGATACGTTGAATTTATACAGACCACTAACATAATACGCCTCTCATTAATATTTTAAGCACACTACCGTTCTGCTTACCAAATTGTGGACGTAAGTAAACCTCCGTACAGTACCGAAAAGCCAGCGTTCAGACAGATGTTTTACCTGTCATCTAAAGCCCTGGTGATTATTGCGCATACGACATACAATCGTGATTACATCGCGATGTGATATCATGCAGCCCTACCAGTGGTCTTCTGCAGTCAGGATAAAAATAGAAGTACCTGGATGGTCTGTCCAATCCGCTTCAGTGGAGCCGACTTAACCGGGGGGATGAGGTTGGCCAGTGATGTGACCCGTGACAGGGGTTTGGTCCGCTTGTTACTGGGCTCCTGAAGCAGACAGAAGGGCAAAAGGATTTTTCAACCAAACAGTATTTATGAGCAATGCCTTAAATAGCCACAACGATGCTACTACAGTACAGTCCCGGCCTGCATCTCATTTATACCCTGGCAGCAAGCCAGCAGTGCTTCACAGCAGAACAACTTACAGGAGGTCCAACGGGTCTTCTACCATCCCAGAGCAGAAAAGGACGTCAAATGTACCCCCCCCCCCATGACCTCAAGGAGATACATGAGATGCTTTCCTATGATTCTGGAACCTTGTACTAATCAAAGAGGTAAAAACTGTTGTTCCAGCTCAAAGCATGCATGAGTGACATGATCTGTGTGTAGGTTCTGCTAAGCTAATGGCCAACTAATTATGGCATCGATGTCTGCAGTTCATCCCAACTCACAAAATCTATAGTACCAGACTTAAAGACGACTATTGTATTGAGGAACGGAAGTGTTCAGATTTTCAGGACCTTTATCCTCTACTCACTCGATTCATGAAAAATCCGGCCACCGACGTCCTGAGAGATGCGCACCAAACACAAAATCCTGCAGTTCCTGCATCTGGTATGTTCCATCCACCCATCTTCTAACTGCTTATCCTGGTCAGTCACACACTACACTAGGGAAAATTTAGAGATGTCTGTCTACCTCTCTTTAGACTACAGAAGAAAACTTGCACTCCGCGCGTAAAACACCAAACACACAGTGCATTGCATTTGAACTCCCAGCGCAAAAGGTGTGAGGTAACAGTCCACATGGTCATGGTGCCGCCCATCTGGAATATTAAATGATCAAAATGGGTCACAGCTTTAAGAATAGTCTAAAAGGAAAGAACAGAAAACGAATGCGCTAAATATGACCGTTGCTAATTATGGTTGCTCTCCGCCGCATCTTGGTATCATGCAGTAAACACAGAGATGAACTGGCTGTCTGCAATTGCACATTTGGCACAAAACTTCTATACACACTACAAATGGTAGCAAATTAAACAGCAGTGAAAACAAAACCAGTTTTCCTTATTTTTCTCTATTATTTAAGCTGCAGAACCAGACACCAGGCCCAGTCATATTATTAATATTAGTGCTTGGGTACCACCACAGAAATCCCATATTTAAATCACGCATGTAGCCCTAGCTAAAACAGAACCCAAATAAAAGTACCAGTTAGTTACATCATCAACGTAATGGAATCATACATCATCATGGATACAAGCAAACGATTTTCCACTCGTCTAACAAGATATAACGGGTAAGTCTTACGTCTCACACGTCCTGCTGATCCTGTTGTGTCCTTTATATAAACGGAGCAATCCTAAAATAAGAGTGATACTTGGACCAGCTTGTGTTTCCACTCCATGACATTACAAACGCAGGCCTATTCTGACTGAGACAGCAGTCAATCAGTTTCTGGTGGGCGAGGGAATGTGCTGAGAGCTTTTCCTACAGATGCCTCGGTCTTAAATGTCGAAAACCATGACTGGTACCCCACACCCCCCACACACACCCTGGCTCCAACCCTAAATCTCTCCATAAAATGACAAGCGGCTAAGAAAGCCCAGCTATCACGCTGAAAAGCCTATTAGTGGCGATATTTGCTTAGACGTTCTAAACAATGTAAGATGATAAGCCATGATAGCGTGAAGGATAAACCTGATGAGTCCCTGATGGATTGGCATTTGTGACACTACATATAAAATGACAGAAGATACTCATTTAATCAATGTAAGGACTTCTGCTGGGTGGCTATAGCGGTAATTAATCCATCATGCAAATTTTGTGTTTAATGAGTGTCAGGAGAAACGGAACCATGCAGACATTTAGTGGGAGTGAGAGAGCTGTGTGCCTGTGCGGATTGTCTGCGGGCTAAAATAATCCAGAGGGATGCTGGCTGGGTGAAAACTCATGCAGCACTGATGGACTGTAGCAGTGAAGGATTCCATATTAAAAGAATTAAGGCCAACCAAAAGTATTTACTTATTTGACTCTTAAGATCAGGTTTGTACACATCAGTTGATGGCTCTGGCTGATGCTAAGATCATCAGAGGTCATAGGCAGGGAAAGATTTAGCCTACAGGCCCGTTTTTAAAAAAGAGCAGGATGCATTGTTCTTTGTGAGTAACTTCACTGTGAGCATTGCCATAGTGCTTTGGTTCACGGAGTACATTTTTTGATGCCTGTAGCCAACTTCTTGATCCCACTGGCCTTTGTGGTGCTGACAGATTTAAGATTCGTTAATGTTTCTGTTAGCAGTACAGACACCTGAGCGGTTTTCTGAATCAAGCAGATACTCCAACAGATGTCTGACTGATCTTCAGAGGAAATCGAGACCGAAAGACGCAAACAGCTGGTTGCTGTTTCCCCTAGCTGACGAGACAGTGACTTCAGTTTTCAATTTTAAAACCAAAAATTACTCTATGTGGTGAACTTGTTCACACATGAACATGCAGGGTCCTTCTTGATAGCTTGCTGTGATGTAATATAAAGGTGAAGGAGAACCTCAAAGGCACTCAAATGGAGATTGCAATGTTTTAAATGTACACACACAAATACAGACTCCAAATATGATATTTATCAAGGAACATGCAAGAAAACGGCTAACATGGGAAGGGCATAGAAAGCAGAGAAGCGTCTGGTCCTGGCTATAAGAAATAAGGAACCGCTGATATTTTCTGAAACCAGCCAATGTAGTACAGATAGATTTTTTCTTTTTTGGATGTACAAATACTTGACAAGTTGTGTATTTGTCTAGCCATAGTCCTACGTTTTCTTCTTTTCCTCCCATGTCTAATCTAAAATTACACAAGGAATTAAATGAAGGTGCTTTTTTGGGGGGTGCCTTGTGTTATTCTTACACGCAGTTGCCAGGAGACGGAGCAGACGCAGAGGTCTAACCGAAAACACGGCCGTGCCATAGACTGAAAGATGGTTTACATCCGTCACTATTGCATCACTTTGAAGTCTTGCTTTTCTTCTCATTATAAGTAGGGTTATGTTCAGCTGCCATTTTAAGATTATTTTAACACTGTGTGGAATGTAAACACAAAGCCCTGTTTGAAAAAAAATGTCTTGCTGTTTTAGGTACCCAAGAAAGAGATGATCCTTTCGCCTTCAACTATGACAAACTGAGACAGAGAGACAGACGGACTGATAGATGGATGGACAGATGCCGAGGGGAATTTTACTTTCTTGCAACAAAGGAAATAAAGTACAAAGATACAGGCAGTAAAAAGAGAAGACAGCACATGTAGCAGGAAATCAGAAACAGACAATTAAAAGGACAAGGATGTGTCTTGGAGTGTGGTTTTTAAAAGACAGCAACTGATGAGATGAAAGAGATGAGCTCAAGACAGGAAATGCATCTAGTGCTACAGGACAAGTCCGGATTGGCGATGAACCACATTGCTTCTACAGCAGACTTTAATGCTTTATTTTTAGAAGCCTTAAATCTACATTCTGACCCTTATTCGTTGTTGACATTCGGAATTTACAAGTGCCAGTATTTTTCCTGCGTCTGGCCTGTGATTTCCGAAGACTTTCAAGTTGCCTAGGATACCATGGGTCAAATAAATATTAATATTATCTGACTAAACATAAAGCACAGGAACGCATCAGTTTGCGACTGGCCGACTTGGCCACACCAAGGCAGACACACAGCATTTTTCTAACTCAGAGGCATGAGATGCCCAAAGACAAAACATCTGACTGTTTCCCCGACGCGCCTTTGGATACAGATCAAAGCCTGTTAAGGTTTCGACTGAGATCGTCACATTAACGCCACGCATTTAGACAGCCTTGTTTTTTGGAATGTTAGCTAGTACATTCCAAGCGTGTGTCACTCCCATCTTCACAATACCGGTGTTGGATAACGAGCCGGGGCTTTCTCTGTGTGCCCAGCCGACCGCCTGGGACTTCCAGCACGGAGCACTCTGTCCCCCCACCTTAACGACCAGAGTGTGTCCACGTCCCTTCCCAAACTCCCCCCCGCCCCACACAGGAGGCTTTCAGGTAGTCTCAGATCTCAGTGTGAGTGACAGAAAGCTCACCGCTGCCCCCTTTCTCATAGCAGAGCAGATACTTTACCCACCGGTGAGATCATAAAGGAGAGAAGACGTGGGGGATCCAACATCTGCTGGAGGGGGGGGGAGGGGGGGGCAGAAACATTAAACTTAGAGAGAAGAAGCCCAGGATTTAACTGAAGATAATATAAAAAGGGCTGATATTCGGGAAAAGCACTTCCCTGGACGCCTTAAAGGATATAATGTAAACATAATGATCAGCATCATCATAATTAGGCCAACCTGCGATGTAAACAATTCAAGCCAGCATTCAAATTAACTACTTAAAGGCACAGCTCCCACAACGTAACCTATCGGAGTCCTTCACAATCAGGCAACCCACAAATCCTGCTCTGGGACTCCATAGTGAACTTGCCACATGGGCAGACCGGCAATCTGCCATGAGACCTGGTCCCGGGGTTTCATGCTCCCAAGTTGAATGCATGGTTTAGCCGTAATAACTAGCGTCTTGTACTGCTGCCAGCGAGCCCCACATTTTCAAATTGGCTTCCATGTGCGTTTCCCTGGGCAATGCACTTTAAAGCAACATACACGTAGCCTGGCAGAGTGTAACGAAAACCTATTGAGTGATAATCAAACGCTCTGCAAGATGCCTCGTGGCTTTTCTTCTTTTGAGAATCAGCCATATCACCTTCCCATTATCTGCTCGCTTTTGTGATCCTGATCTGTCCTGGAGTCCAGTAACATAAACCAGGTTTCCTCACAGCCCCCGATATACAGCTGTCAGATAGCAACACTGCCTTGTTGTCCAGGTGATCTCATCCTGACTGTAACGCTCCTGACAAATTACAAATGTAGTCAGACTTGAAATTGTTTGCACCAGTTCATTGAAGCGATAGTTTATCCACTAATCCCTCAAATAATACCTGTACTGAGCACCTCTTGAAAGTCCAGGCATCATCAGCGTCAAAATCCTAATAATATAATATGCGATAATTGAACTAACACGTTTCAGCAAAGCTAGATAAAATGTAAAACGGTGTAAGGATTATGTTTGAAAACATTACAGCCTTGTTCCTAAACAACCCAGCCAATCCATACAAACACGGTAAGTATTTTTGCTTAAACTTTTATATAAAATAAACAGAGCACAATTCCACTTTGTAATGCAAGGAGCACGATTAACAAAAAAATTCTCCTCAATATTCGTGAGAAGGGTCACACTTATTCTGCGACTACCGAAACAATTGGAGTATTTTTAAAGACTGTGCATGTGCTATATAGCAACCAGGAAAAAAAATCAAACCTAATTTTGCTTAAAACAACATGCGTTGCTGCACAATTAGCTTTTAATTCCTTTTTACAGTAAAAAGCCATCAAGATACACAGTGAAAATAATCGTAACTAAACGTAACGTTTCCAATGATGTTTTCCGCGTGCGCTCTCACCTCTCCTTTCACCGACGCGCTGCCCACCGCCTGCACTTCCAGGGTGCAGTTCGCCCTCTTCACTAGCAGGTAAAATGGGTAATCCTTGGCTACCATTCCGGCGGGATCGGTGTCTACAGCGGTGGGGTAGTCGTAGAATCCGCCGGCCACGGTGCCCGCCAGCGCTGCGGAGGATGCAGTAGCGGGGGCGGGGAGCGGAGCGGAGTGCCGGCCGGGTGACTGGAAGCGGCGCCTCCCGCAGAGCGTTTACAAAGCACCGGCCCAGGTGGCTGCTGCGCCGCGTACTGGCAGAAATTATTTTCCGCTACTGCACAGAGAGCTAACCGCAAAAAAAAAAAAAAAACCTGACTCAGTTCTGCAAGCGTCGGTAGGACTGGCTTACCGGGATCAATGAACAAAAAACATATGCAATCTATTTATATCAAAATCTATGTATGTGTGCGACCTGGCACGAAAAAAAGCCCCAGCGTGAAGGAATGTTTATAATTCGCAAGTGTTTACATTTATCTAAAAAAAAGAATATGACCACCGAGGAAATGATGCTTTTTTGGCGACGGTCCAGGGATGAGTGCAAACGGTAAAAGCCGTTTTAGCAAGACTATTAATATAAATACAATTATATAATCGCTACATATGGCACCAACAAACGTGGATCATTACACGCTTTTCAAGTGCATTTATTTGTTGCAATGTGACTACTGCGTTGAACTTAGTCTCAACTTACACATGAAACCGTTTCTACTTAGGGTTACATTTTTAGAACATGAGTATTAACGAAACTAAAAACCGAAGTCTGCGCAACTGGTAAACATCAAATCATGCGAATGCTAGTCGCTTAACTAATTTAAGTAAATATCTGTATAGGTTTAATAACTGCAGGCAAATGTCAAGGAGAAACCGCTTTGCAGGTAAACCGACATATAATGTACTGCATTCAGTATCTTTGTTTTTAATACTTTGTGTCATTTGAGGTAGTGCACATCATACTCTATGAAGAGATTGGAAAATCTTGGAATAAACTTTCGGGGGCAATTCGGTATGATCTGAAAGCCTCTTTCTGCGAATACAAATACATGTAAACACTGTAAGTAACTACAGCTCCATCTGCACGGAGCTCTCATTTCAGCCAGCAGGAAGCCGGTCCCACTTTTTTACTGGCTTTGTTCTGGGAGGCAAAGCAGTTCCTGCCATTGTGTTCCTATCAGAGCCAGGGAAGTTGGATGGGGGAAAGCAGATCGCCTCCGAATCCAGCTACGGTTCAGTAATAAACCAAAAAACAAACGAACAACAAAAAAAACACTGGCTCACACTTTTATTAAGGTGTCATACACCAAACTCACCTTTTTAAAAACACTCTAGGAACTTTTCCTTATACAGAACGAAGTCAAAAACAGTAACAAAAAACATCAAACAAGCAGTGGGCATTTCAGGTCCAGAAGCTTCAAATCCAGACCAAGATTTTGTTTCTACCAACCAGCTGATCATAAAGAGTCACAGACACAGAGTTGGAAGAAAATGAATCTTGGTCTGGATTTGTAGCTACTGGACCTTGTTCAGTGGTTCTCCATTCTTGGTCTGGGCCAACCTAAGAAGAACTTATGGTGTGTACTAACAGTGAAAATCCACTATACACTGAGAACAAATGCTCAGTTATCAATTATCAATGTTAGATGTAGGGATATGTGACAAAGTGGAGGAGACTGACCGATATCCTGCCTTCAGAGAAATGACTGAGGGCATTCAGATACACTATAGAAATTCCCCTCACTTAACATTAATGAGAAGCACCACATGCACTTCTGAAATACAGGCCGTGCATTTCGGGCTGTCAGATGTGTGGTGAGATAAAGATACTCTCCTTATATTTTCAGAAGCAGAGGTGGCAGGAAATTCTAAGTAAACACGTAGAAATAAAAACCATGTCAATGATTCAGCAATGACATCCTGTTTCCTGTAAGAAGCTGGTTTGAACACTGAAGCCTACATCTGATGACGGAAAGTGGGTTGTCTTTTAAACAGGGAAGCAGAGCTTGGCAGATGTTTAAAGATCACAGGTCCTGAGTGATGTAAACACATAACGGTAGAACATGTTGTTCAGGTCAGAATAACTATGTATTTGCCTGGATTAAACTGTGAATGTCTGTATTTTCACACAAAGGAGGTGGGGCTCTTTGCATAAGCCGGGGTGACCATTTTTAATTAACGCTGGTCTTTGTGGATTTTGAATGGGATTAGTGAGAGTAGGTCCCATTCTCTTACAGGTAGGGCACTGTTTGCAAACACCTCATTTGCTACGGAGGAACGAGTGATTCAATCTTTAAGCCAATTCAACAGATTCACCTAATCAGTGGAACTGTTTACCAAGCATGCGAGGGTATGACCACTGACTTAATCCGTAACTATTAACAAGCCAGTATATGCAATTGTGCCAGGGAAAACAATCTGCCCTTTTTTGGTGTCACCTGGCAAGCTTATGTTGACCGGTCATGATTCCTGAGAGTAGAAACAATTTGTGCTTAAATTGACTGAGAGGCTTCTGAACAAAGTGACGTTTTTCTTCTTACTTGCATGTTACAAAGGCTAAGAAAGTGAGACCTAACCAAAGAGCCACAATTGTACTGGGCAAGCAAACAAAACAAATCACTTCATGAAGTAAAACATGTTTAGACAGGTGACGTCCAATCAGATCAGCCGACCGTGTTTTTTTTCACAGCTATGGCTAGCAGTTCATTCTCAAACTATGAATTGTGCTGTTAATAAAATATCCACAGTGGCGTTGATACACTGTAGCCATTTACCACATTGCGCAATGCAGAATCCACACATGAGTCATTCCAATCTGGTTTTATGACTGACAAGCAAGAATCACATTCTGTTATGGAGAGCAAATTGAATGTTGGTTCTGCTGTCATTCTCCCTTAACTACGTCCATCAAAATCGGAAGAGTCCAGCTGACATGCAGAAGTCATGATTTCAGAGGCAAAGTAAAACCTGGTTGGGTAGTGATGGCAACTAATTCTACACTAGATAAATGGTTTATAAGTGACCCCTAATCCGATGCGTAGTATGATTAGCTGTGCTTGACCAAGTGAGAGACGCAGATCCACAGCGCTTTACATTTGCTAATCACCACAGAGCTCATTACCATTTAGCCATCGGTGCTTTGTGTATGTGGGGAAAAGTCACCTCTGCTCTTGATATGAAACGTGAACTCTGAAAGCATAGAAATTACACTAAGTAACTCGTGAAACACTGATGCCATTGAACATTGAATCACATTAAATGCACAGTGTTTTGATATCTTCACTCAGAATGTATTCTAGGTCCCATATTTCAGGAATGAAATATCTATAAATAATCTATAAGTTAAAAGCTGACTTTAAAACCTATTACTGGTAGATGTGCCTCTCAACACATCATACATGATGGGGTTTTTTAAGGACATGGATATCTATTTTAAAAGTTTGCATTTTCCCCCAGTATTACTTTTGAGTTTCCATCCATAAGGTCAAAGGCATCCAGTTTAGATGGATATCTGGGTTTCCCGTGCCTCAACACTATCCTGCACCGTGTACCAGACTCATGGAAATAAGACATACATTTATGTCCTTAATCATTAATTCACAAATATGAATATGTAACGGTTACATTCTTGCACAGCTGTTTAGCCAATCATAGTGCCACAAGGTAGCCCCATAAAATCAGACTTGAAACCAGAGACCAGTAACCTTTAGCTTAGAGAAAACAAGGTGTAGCATATGACGCGATTATTATGTTTTTAAAAGGGGGGAGGGCAATGCAAAGGGAGCCTTTGATGTTGAGCAAAATACCCCGATGGTCACTAGCTTACAGGATGACAACTGCTGAGTGCTTCCATCTCCCATGGCTGTCCTCTGCCGGTTGGAGATCTATAAGCATGTTACATAAGCGGCCGATGCTCTGCAAAGCTTCACCTCCCTAAGTACAGTGTCTGCATTATGTCTCTCCAGCAGAAATAAGCAGGCCGATAAGCACAAGTGACTTCATGCAGAAAAAAACAGGGGAAAAAAGGATCAGTGTAATATTTACTCTTCAGCCCAGGTACAGGTGTGTAATTTAAAGCTAGAAAACAGACCTATTTTTAAAGTAACAGTTTAACTAAATATCTGCCTGATAAAGACATTCAACAAATAGACACACTAAATACCTATAATATAACATTTTGGGATAAGGCTAAGACTCTGTCTAAGCAGGTGTAAAGTGAATGTTTCTCACACAAACACATACACACTCAAACATCAAACAGGCTTTGTCGCTTCTGAGCCATACAGGCAGTACGCTGTCCATTGAGGGTCTGTCCCCTTCAATTATTTGTTCACCTTTTGTATTTGATATTAACGTTTCCTTCGTCTCTCTTTGTCATCCTGTATCACCAGTGACCATAAGAACCGCCTGAGGCTTCTGTTATAGGGTGAAACAACTGTCTCATCTACAGGGTTTCCACACAACCCCAGGGTTAGGATATCAGGGCACGATGATGGGTTGGCGGAGGTCAACAGTGATGCAGTTCTTCTTTGAAGTGTGGCAATAAAAGCCTGGCATTAAAGAGCCCGGCTTTCCGTCACTCAGGAGCTGGTTCATGGAAGTAGGTCAAGAGAACTGGAGACGATGACCTTTACTG